ACCGCTTTTGGCCGGTCACCATATCGTTTTGCAAGGTATACGTAAAACCTCAAAATGCGAACTGGGTCCAAAACTATATGGTTGTACGGAGTCTATTGCCTGTTGCTCTTTTCAAAATACGAACTCCTAGGGATAGCTGGAGATTACAACTCAAGCTATTATGAATTTTAGGTCTCCTTATGGAGTATGTTTTTGGGGCCATATGCATAACTCCAACATATACTTCACTCCAACTAATTCAAATTGTCTGCAAACCTTCTTTTTGAAACATCCGGCGCCCCCAAATCATGCTGTCTGGTACCCTAACTAGAACTCACCCTGAACCTTAGTCTCTTTCTCTATCCCGGTCATCCTCCACCTCAGCTTTACTGACTCACCCCTAACACCCAGGTGTGCCTTGAATTAATCCAGCAAACACTCAGAGGGCCACAGGTCGTCACGGCGAAATCCTTCCCGTCAAAGGCTACTGGTCCCAGCTTTCCGTCCTTCCGGCGCTCAGCTTACGATGCAGGGGTCTGCCTGTCTAAGGATTCACGTCTTATTTGGGATGGCTTCAAGATTTTGGTGCTTATTCTTTACAAACCTACTGTAGGAGGCATCCCTGAAAGACTTGCTGGTTGAAGTTGCGTCAGAGGATTTTGGAGTACAGGCGCTGCCAGACTTGTAACAAGTTTGTAAGGCTGTGGAAGGCTGCCCGATTCATGCCTGACTTCAATTCCAGAAAGAAAAAAGCCCGAACTCTTGAGTCTAGGTCTTCACTCGACAATCTCGCGTAGCCCCATGCTGCCTTTATTCATGGTGCAAGGCCAGCATGGTGCCATGGCCTCTCCATGCCTCTCAGCAAACAACTCCAGTCACCTCCCGAAATACAATTTTACCCTCTCTAACAGCCACCTGAAACTCCTGCGTGGCCCTCGAAAAGTCATGTGTTTTTCAGTGCCAAGCAAGACGTCTACCCACACAAGAACACTGCGGAAAGCCTCAGCTTTGGCACAACAAGACCCCGCAAACTAATAAATGGGGATCAAAATTGGACTGTCCTCTCCTACCTTGACGACCTGTGCGGCATTCGGACATGCTGGGGATCGGAAATAAAACGGTCTCCGGAAAATGGGTACAGACGTTTTGTAGGATTCCCAAAATCGCATCCCCAACAATGAGCCCGTCGCTATGTTGGACACATGGATGATTGGGATCCTCTAACAGCTCTGGGCCTTTTAGATCTTTGAGAAACCTAAGGCCTCCTGGATGGGGAAGAGCCACTGATACTTCTCAGCTCTCTTCTGCGCTGCCTCAGAAGGCGCCTGGGTGTGAAATCAAAGCAGGATTTTGAATTTCAAATTCTTCTTGAATCTTGAGGATACAGTATACAGGGTGTCCGGTTAAGAAGAGCATTGGCAGGCTTCCGAAGGTGCTCTTCAACAAGGAATGCGCATGTGCAAAACGCACCATGTTGTGCAACCTATGAAGCTCGTGTCAAGCTGTGGACCGACACATTGCTGCACTCTTTGGGCTCTGAAACCAACCCACCATCCCAACTCTGCACTACATCGCAAGTGCTGGATGCACGCACACCCCCTGCGGCCTAAATCCCAACCCAAGCATCAACCCCATCAGCACTACTCCAAAGGATGCGCAGGAACCAAGGCCAGTGGAAGATGCGAGAAGGTCTGCTTGGGCGCGCTCATCAGCCGGCCCTCGGCGTTCACCTCGGCTGAGGCTCTGGTGCCTCTTGCAAACTGGAAGCCATCTGCCCGTGCGCAATGCGAGGAGGATCCATGGATGATTTGCTCAGAGCATGTTAAAGCATCCGGGCATTCCAAAACACTGGGCAACCCGGTGACCCTGCAAACTACGCACGCCAAGCAGCGCCGACATGCCGAAGCTTGCCATCATAGGACACCGCAGCAGGTGTGGAACGTCCAGACACATCGTTGGTGCAAATCGAAATTGCCGTGCGCTCCTGTGCATTTGGGGGCTGAAGCCTGTCCCTGGTAGGGCGAGGCCGCTATGGGATTAGGGTCTCACTGCTTGCAATGAAAAGAGGCAGATCTGGTAGATGATGACATGGTAGTTTCCCAAACTAAGGGGGACCCAATATAGATCCCCAAAATACTATATTCCTTAATTGCCGGGACCCCCACAAAAAGGGTACCCCTAATTTTGGGAAACCCTAAACCCTAAAAAGTAGCCTCCATGTTCTTTTCCATAATCCCTATATAACCCCCATATCCTATAGTAGTTTTTATTTTCTTTTCCACTATCCCAATATAACCCCAGCATACTAAACCCTAAACCCTATGTAACCCCCTAAAAAGGTACCCCTAACTTTGGGAAACCCTGACAAATGCGCGGAGCTCGAGCTTTACGGCACCAGTCGTCCCAGTTACAGCCTGTAGTCCCCCTTAAGTAGATAGACCATGAGATCTTATAGTATATGATGGGAATATTACAATATATCATAGCATAGTATAGTAAACTATGGTATTTTATGGTAGATAGAATATGGGGTACATAGGGACCTTATTATGATATATCCAGAGCCATATTCTATCTACCTAAGGGGGACTGTACATTTGTTAGGAATCCTGGCGCTGATTCACTGAGCCCTGCGTTGCTCTCCTGAATCTCAGCCCTCTAATGACGCATGATCGTAACGAAAACGCCCCACGAAGGTTGGTTTATGCCACCAACTAACTAATGGTGGATATGCAAGTTCCAAAGCAAGCACAGTACGACCGACCAACTCCGCAAAGAGGACACCTGTTAGAGGATCATGAACCCTCTCCTGCACTGCACTTCAAAAGATACTATAACGTAGACCAAACGTACTTTATCTGCGGTAGTTGATCACAACATGCAGCAGGAAGGCTGTAAAAATGCTTGCTTGAAAGACTAGTCCAGTGAATCCAGTTCTGCTTCTTGGAATATGGCCACTAGACCAACCCGAAAACATTACATCATCCCCACATGCACTCCCCCTTTAACGACTACCTTATCCTGACAGAGAGTGGCTGCCGCGTCCTCCACCGAGGAGGATGCCACAACCTACAGCTCTCAGAACTATCCAAAAAGCGGTTTCCGTTTAGTCATCGTGTTGTTAAACACCCATTTGCAACATGGCCATTGGCTTTCAATGCACTTGGGCAAGTGCCAAGCACAGGGCACCTCTCATGTTGCTCTGGGGAGAAATTGCAGTTTTCGCAGCATTGACGCGATCCCCCAGTCCTCCGACAACCGCTCGTTTTCTGGAAATCAGCTGTGCAAAAAGCAGCCGGTTCTCAACAGCTCAAGTTATGTCAAATCGCGCCACAAGAAGCAGGGCCTCCAAAAGGCCATTCCCAAACTGAGCTTATGTCAAGCAGCCAAGCTCTCACTATGATCATTACTGTTTCTTTCACAATTAGTATTTCCACTGATGCTACTGTTGCGGTTCCCGTTACTGTTTCTATGACTCGTACAGTTTATGACTACTACAACTACAACTACAACTACTCTTTCTGCAGAAGATGACGTGCACAGTAGCCCGCCACGCTTCTCCACATGATGGGCCCATTTTAAGCGGTTTATCTGGATTATACGGACTTCAGGAATTTGGGTCTATTTTCTGCTCCGTTTAGCTGAAGGACTGCTAGGATGATCCTTAAGTGGACAGAATGCGGCTTTGGGTATATTATAATCAGATCCACAGATACCCCATGTTCTATCTACTTAAGGGGGACTATACCATATACCCTTAACCCTAAATTGAATAGCAGTTGCCACTTTATTTTCCATTATTCCTACATATTAACACGCTTGAAAGAAACCTGCTGGGTCCAATGAGCTACCCGGAAAACTGATAGAAAGGACATGCATCGGCAAAGGAAGTACTATTCGCGGTAAGAAATCCTGCATGACAACAAGTGCCCCAAAGTTTGGGACTATGTATGGGAGATTAGCATGACAGCTTTCGTGCCAACAGTAGGTTCAAGGGCTCGGCATGTCCAATCTGCAGGTTTGCCTTGCGCATCGCTTTGTTGCCACTACCAGGAGTTTGCCTGCATGTTTTCCATCATGAGTCTTACCTTCTGACATGACCGTTAAACAAACGATCATGTCCAACAACTTGCGTCCCACACAAGCCTGAGCCTCTGGCGCAAGTCACGCCCAGGTCGATCCCAACGAAGCGCGCGGCCGGCGGCGGCGAAGGGTAGGGATCGCCAGCCATGGCAGCCTGAGTCGTGCTGAGCAAGCAGAGGGCGTGAATATCAGCATCAGTCACAGGGGAGTTTGAAAAGACCTTTATGGGGATTCACTCCTTCACTCCCTTAAAGCATCAATAAGGAGTGGTCTTTTGCTTGCGCAGTCGCGGGTTTACATTGAGAATTAGCTCCTTGCTTGATGGGTCCACTGCATGCTCTTTTGTCACCAAGTTGGAGTGCATATTGGCCGTGCGGAACAAAGCCAGAGGCAGATTTGTGCAACGGCAGTGGGATGACATTGCTGCTGGGGTCATGCAGAATCGGGAACTTTATGCACTTGTGAGAGCCTGTGCGGACTTACACATGCACACAGACGCACTCATCTGCAACGGCGTCAAGAGCTTTGCAGCCAAGCCACGATCTTGGGCAAGTTCTGCCAACCCAAAGCTTGCGACAGAGCCGATTGGCAACGCAGTCCTATTTGCTGAAATGCATGGCCCTGACAAGATCGCGTGGGCCCTTGCATGATAAGTCTCGAAGCTGAACACGCACCACTGCGCTTGCAGGGTTTGGCACATGTGCTCTGAGGACATCGGTCTCACTGAGCAGCCACCCGTTGCTTTGCGCCACGTTTTCCCCAAATGACTCAATCATGCCTGCCTTTGGCAAGTCGCTTTTGCGAACTTGACCGGCATGCTAAATAAACCAGCCGCCCTTCATACTACGATCAGACGCACCCTTCGGGGTTGCACAAGATCTTAATGTCTAGTCAGGAGAAATCTTTAACCGCACATCTCCTAGGGGAGCATCTGATCCTGCTGGCGCAACCAACTACTATAGCAATTGATGGGAAAGAAGCAAGCTGTGTGTGAAATGAAGGAAATTTTACCAGCTGTTGGATTTGGCTTATCTCTTCCTTTCTATACACTCTTAAGACGTGCATCTACTACATTTCAGAAATGAGAACAATACTACAAGCAAAAGGCCGCCCAACCAACTTGCTACAGGCTCTTAGACAGCCAATTGCAGTCAAAGACTGTTGCTAGCTCTAGAGCGCGCAGCACTGGCATTCTGACCGTTAAGGAGCTACAACCATTCCCGTTCCACTTTGGCCTTCTCTGAGGATGCTTTGTTGTTTACGTCTACTTCCCCCGGGAATTGGATGATAAGTAGACAACATTACCTGATAATGTTAAGCACATATTCCAAAGACGACTAACATGAAACCCTGAGACCGTGGTCAGGCCAGGCAGGCTCTAGCGTGGTGCAAGGAGAATCCCATCAGGGAAGCTATGGAGACTTGGAGGTGTCTCAAAATCACTCGTTGGTTCTTAAGTATGCCGTGTTGTGCTTCTGCTACACACAGCTTTAGCCTATTACCTCATGGGTGGGGGCCCCAAACCTAACCATCACTTTGTTCTTGGGCATGTAACAGTGGCCCCCAGGCTCTGGGACGTAGCCACTTTGCCTTTGTGCAAAGAGGCAGAAAACGGCATCGATGCTGCAAAGCTTGCACGGCGACACGCGCTATCTAGAAAAAAATGCTGGTCCTCTACACCCAGAAGATATTGCAATCCAAAGGTAGGAGGCGACCCCTTGGCGTATCCAAATTGTCTGGAAGTTGAATTTACAATATCAATAATACCTGAAACTAACTACGTATGTTGGAACCAAACGTGCGGCAACAAAAAAACATCTTGCTTCTGCTTGATGTTCACCCCTTCCAGTTGACAACGTACAACATGCAAGGTCAGTGCAAGCTACAGGCAACAAGGGATCTTTGGAGGTCAAATATCTCTACGGCTCTTTGCGCCATCGCGGGAAGGCCATGGAAGCACCTGACAGAAGCCTGCGCTTAAACACCAAACTCGTCCATTGCAATCCTTGAGTAGCTGTAGCGTACTACTTCCACCCCATGTAGGTCTAAAGTTGGAAAAACTTTGGTTTTGTGCCATTCAAGCCAATGTTCCAGCGCCGTAAACGAGGTGTTGTCGTCACAGTTGGAAAAACGAGATGGCTGTCAAAATCTCTCTATTTTGCCCCTTCATGATGGCTGTGACTCCCTGGGCGTGGTCATAGACTGCAGCTCTGGTAAGGATGACCTCTTCTGTTGGCCCTCCCGCAAATTCAGCGACTCATGGAACACCGTGCCAAAAGTCCTAACTCTACACAGCGCCCTAGCTAAAACACGCGGCGATACCAAACGATGTACTCGGGGTAGACCTGGTGGTTGTCGAACACCTGTAGAATGATATGCTCATGGCTAATGTGGTAAGGCATTTTGGTAGCGCTTGTCTCCAATCAAGCTGTCCTTCTTTGTGCTGTCCGCTACTTGCTTACAGTAGTGTACTGCTTCACATCCAACTGTCATCTAAGCCTGCCGACATGATGAGCGAATTGTGTGGCGAATCTGGAGCACCCGGACTCTTGGTGGAGCCTTTTCCAGACTCTGCTAGGTTGGATCATACGAGAAGCTGCTTAAAACTTGGAGGACGACGATCTATGCTTGCATGTCAGCACGGGTGCCACCGTTTGTTGGAAGTTTTCACGCGAATCCTGAGGAGCTCTAGGAACCAAAGCCACTAACGGATGTTGCGGCTAAACACAGCTGTTTGTGCTGACCCATGCATCGGTAGGCGCAGGAAACTCGAAAACTCGGACCATGCAGCAAACCAACTTTATCGTATCAAACGGGTTTCGTCCATCCGTTTGCTAATGAAACCCAAAATAAAGTGGGTTGCGACATCGAAACCGGGTTTGCAAGCAGAGTCTCACGAAAACTGGGTTTCTTGCAGCAAACCAGATTCTTTCGCGCAGCATCCCCTTCCAACCCGTAAAAAACCGTAGGAACCCCATAAATACACGTAGAAAACCTGTAAAAACCGTCTCGCAGAACCTACTTTTCAGGAACCTGGTTCTCAGGTCAGAAACCTGGTTTTCGGAAGGAACCTACTTTAGTTTGGGTTCTGGTAGGTCTAGGAACCCTCACCATGCAACATTTGGAGGCTTCATCCTTCATGCATAGACTGACAGTCTGATCCTTCAACTTTCCCTAAGCCTTCGCCAAATTGCCAAGGCACAATGAACTCGCGGAAGGTTCCGTTCACTTTCTCCCGGTCGCCAAGGATGCTATGGTAGCCTCCATGGTTTTTTTTGTGAAATGTTGTGCATGGCATGAGCAACCGCGCCAAAACAAAAAAGCCATCGCGTCAGAAGGAGGCCTTGTACAAAAAGCAGAGGTGGCAGTTGGTGATGGCACTCGGTGACGGCAGAGGGATATGCTTTAGGGAAGAGTACGAGGTGGAGGAGGAGCAGCGGCAACAGCAACTGGCCGTGGTGGCTCTGGAGAAAGTTTGACATACTTGCGTGACAAACGGGTCACAGCACGTCGGTTAACAGCGCAAGATGATTCAGAGGTGGCCACGTGGCTGACAATTTGGTAGGTTCTCTCTTTGCATACTACTCTGGCGCGGGACATCTGTGCCGAAAGTCTAGCACGAGGAACCCTAATTTGAGGCGCACTGTCAGCTGTATACGTAAGAGCGCTCTCCACGATTCCCTTGATTCCTGCCTCCTCGCTCGCCACAAGCGGCCACCAGGCTGGAACTGATCGACACTGGCGAGGGATGATCGCAGTAGAGAACGTTTCCTAGCACCTCGGCACACAGCTTAATCATCACAGCTTCCGACACCTCACAAAAGCAAATCCCCACGAGGCATCCAAGCATGGACACAGGAATGATCAAGTGGATCAGTGGTTCCCAAGGCACAACCCGGCAGAGCAGCAGCGGATACCAACCCCGGCGATCCGGCTGCGTGTACTCGTCCGCCTTCATGCCTCGTTCCACATGAACGCTCCACATCGACGCGCTTGCAAACAGATGCAAACAGGCATGCTCAGGCCACCCAGTGAATCCAAGCAGCAGCTTTCCGCAAGGTAGATGCCAGGACCGAACAGCGAACCAAAGGCTGTCCCGGCACCTGAGAGCCCATGTCAAACTTCAGACGCTCAGAAGCAGCCGTGGCCCACAATCAGAAAGGACGCCTCTCCAGAACACTCGTACAGCTCTAAGACAGTGTGGCGATTCTTCTGAAATACTCCTACAGATAGCTGTTCTCTTTTTTGTGCAGCTTCTTCTGTGGGACATCCGGCTTTCAATCTGGCCGTGGTCCCATCTCGTCGCACTTCAAGGCACGGGTCAAGTCGAAGTTGGCGTCTGTAATACCTCATATACTGAACCGCTTGAAGCACAAAATCTGGCTTTCTGCTCCAAGCTTGTGCCTGGGTACAGACTATGAAGGAATGTTGCTTTGACGACCTGATGCTGCAACGAGGGTGAATCAAATCTTCTTGGGGCGAATGATGATGGTGATGCTGACCGTGATGGGAACAGACAAGGAGTCAGGCTAGTCATGGATGGTGGCCAGCGTGCTGCACACCTCCAAATCATTACTGCCTTGAGAACGACGGGATGCCCTCAGCCGATTCCGGCTTGCAGCCATGCCAGAGGTAATGCTCATTGATCTTCGGGTCCACAGGGTTCTCCTGCTGGAGCTCTTCGATCAACATGCACACAGTGGGTAGTCAACTCTGGTGGCTAATTTGACTTGACGGCATCGACTGTGCCACAACTCAATGTGCACCCATCTCCGCTTGTCATCATGACAACTAACTAATCTTCTCCCCTGATCACAAGACCCTAGCACCTGAATTTCAGCATTCTCATCATCATATGATAGGGGGAACATTTATCATTAGAGGGTCGGAGTTCTAGTTCTAGGTCGAATGGACTGGTCGAACTTTACACCTTCCTATAGCTGTTCCTATATGGGTGACAGGGCACTCGCGCAAGGCTCAGATGGCTAGCAAGCCGATCTTAGATGCCACTTCTGTTACGAGCTGTAGGCAGAGCACCTGACATCAACCGAAAGCTCGCCCATCAACAAACAGATAGAAATGTAAGCCTGCTGCCGCAAGACGTTGCGCCCGAAACCCGAAAACCTGAAACTAAAGCCAAGCCCCTAAGCCCCTGAAAACTAATCTCTGAAGTCCCAAGTCCTTCATGCGCCCGACACCAGCCAGAGGGACAGCCATGGTCTTCACATCCCAGGCATCTCCAATCCTGATCCACTATGTTGGATTTCGGAACAGGTTATATGGTGTAGGGTCTTAGGGTTTAGAGGTTGCATGATTCAGGATGAAGGAGGCTACTTAGGTGCCCCTCTCATAAGTAGAGAGCGGCCTTTGAAATCACTTCCCTGCTGTGGCAACCCCCCCGACCATTGGTATTGCCACGCTTGCCATCCAAAGGGTGGGAATTAGCATCCCAAGACGTTTGCCTTGGTCTGATCCTTTCAGAATTTCATGACTTCCACAGGCAATACCTGCAAGATGCCACGGATGCACAAGCATAACCCTCAGGACTTTCCCTTCTTCTGAAAGCCGAAACCTCAAACCCTCAAGACAAGCAGGGTAACTTGATAGCTATTTGACGCCCAGTGTCGCCATGTCAGGCGTCATACCGGAGGAGATCTCGGAGCGCCGCGCACGGTAATTCACGAACACCTCGACACATCGCGGGAAAACAGCTAAGGCTTTCCGTTAAGGACTTACACAGTTTGGTGGCAAGGGCTTTGCGTCTGTGGCTTGAAGTATATTATACTCAGCAAGAGAAATGGTCGCAATTCACCACAGGGGTGCTTTGGCGGGCCAGCGCTGGCAGGCATGTGGTCTAAAGAAAGAGGGCAGCGAGCAGCTAACGACGGAGGAAACCTTATATCACATCTAATTAGGCACAGGACATGAACACGCCCCTTCAGAGCAGCCTGCACCGACTGCTTCTGCACGTCACTTGCATGATCAACGTGAGAGTCCACTGTCCGCCTCTGCGTTTTGTACGTAGATCACCGACATGACCTGCGGGAGGGTAGTACAAGCTACCGGCGCGAGCCACTGAGGAGTCTCGGGCTTCGAGCAACGGATGAAAAATAATTACCTCTCTGTTGTTTTTCATGTATTTGTGCATTTTACGCGGGAGCTTTATGTGGTGTCGAAATGTAGGGAGGCTCCACATAAGAGATCAATCTGTTAGGACGCTCTCTGCGAGAGCTCAACAAATTGATTGCAATACTGAGAAGAGAAAAACCAAACATACGGGCTGCAATAATGAAAACAATCATAACAACAGTGTTTGAAATGAGACGAGTACTACGAAACATGATAACGACAGTAAAAGAGAGCAACAAACGAGCAAGAACGGTATTAGCAAGAATAATGATGAGAAGGCCTCCGTAAATAGCAATAGCAATAATGACTGGGGTAACACACGGCCAGCGTACTAATAATTGCGAGGCATGAATGATGATGAGAAGAAACAGGTTGAAAAATGGGATTTTGAATGGTGTTGTATGGCCCAGTCGTTGCATCCATTTCAAAAAACAAAGCGGAGGTGCTGGGGCGGGGCTATATGCCCACTTGCACAACATGGACGGACATGAGAACCTGCAATTGATTGCCAGGCGTTCTGCGATTTACTAAACATTGCTTTGATGTTTCTCGCAAGGACAGAGCCGATGAAATGATGATACTAACGGTAATGCGGTACCACTTGTAAAGCTGAAAATGGGATGAAAACTTACACTGAAATTCATGATAAGGGAAAGAGCAATGATTGCGGCACCGGAAGGACAATGTTGTAGTGATACTCATGGCAATAGAAGTCATGATAACAAATTGCGAATAGTATAATAGTACTATTAGTAGGGGTAATAAGGAAAAAAGAACTTAAGTAATTGTAATAATAGCAATAACAACAGCAGTAAGACTCGTAATGAAATACAGAAAGTAATCATATGAGCAACTATTTATCGTAACAGTAATAGAAAGAATATTGAGAAGACGAATATACACATTGGTGATAGCCTGTAGTTACTATCAGAGTAATCGTAACAGTAGTACATAGTCGTAACATCAATAAACGGAAAGGGTGAATATTTCAGAATGAAGGTGGCGTAATTTAGAAACCAGAAGGAAGCCGTTGAAGACAAGAAACCGAGAAGTCAGGAAACCAAGAAGCTGCGACAACATGAGGCCAGGAATCCAAAAAAGAAGCCAGTTAGGCCAGAAAAAGTAAGCCGCGGAGCCTGACAAGCCAACAAGTTAGGTAGCCAGGAAGGAGTCCAAGACACTCCAAACCGACAAATAGCACAAACAAAAATACCTAAGCAACTAGGATTGCCTTTGAGCAATTGGCAGTTGGAACAACGTGGCATCCCATGTAAGGCAGACTGAACAAAGCGGTCACCCAAAAACAAAGTTTACTGAATCCTACCGAACTCAGTAAATGATCACGCACGTTCACGTCTAACCAAGAACGCCATGGTCATCGTACATGGGCACGATTTAGGCTTGAGAATCTTAAGTCCGGAACCGCGTGCCTCGTCTGTAGCAGTAACATCTAGGCAATTTAGCATCATGGCATTCCTTCTGGAGGGCCAAAACACAAGTGTCCTTCCGCCATGTCCCCAATGAGTTTTGCTCAAGTCGTAACTCGTAACCTAAACAGGGAAGGCCAAAGCGCCACCATGGCTATCAAACGTTGCCGTCGTTGCTGAACAAAGAGGACTTTCAAAACACCCGTTTCCTGAACTCTGCTGGAGTTTTGCTGGCATGCGTCCAAGACCAAGATGCAGAGAAACCCAACAGCCTGACAATCAAGGCAAGGCTTCAACCTCTGACTCCAAGCCCCACCACCCTCAACCCGAGACCCTTGATCAACAAATCTCGCACATGCAAATGAAGCTCAAATGGTGACTTGCAGATTGTGGGGTCCATTTCATGTCCAGCTTTACAGTGCAGCCGTAGAGGTATGCGCAGTGCTGAAGGCAAAATCGGCAGAAGTAGAGCAACCCATCAACCGATTAAGCAACTCCCCAAGCCTCAAACTACAGACCCCTAAAGCTTAAACCCCAAACCTTCAACCCCCTAAACTGCAATCCTAAAGCCATTGATCAGGCCTGCAGCCCCTTGGCCACAGGCTCGGTTCCTCTGTCCCTGGTACCTTTGCTGAGATTTCCTACATGGGGGTTTTCATATATCGGTGCCCATATAGACTCCACTGCATTCTAATGCAGGCTCCATAAAAAGGACCCCAGTTTTTGGAAAATCACTCATGGGCCGTAGCTTAAAAACGAAGGAAGCATGTTGGATGGCTTAAGCCTTCAATCCTAAACAACATTTTGTAAGCTTTAGGGTTGGACACTTTGAAGTGAGCTGTGCAGCGGAAGGACAACTTGAGAAGCTATAGGGCTGTGAAAGTCAGGAAGTTTGTGGCTGAGGATTGAGGGTGATTTCGCCAAGCCGAAAAACGAAAGATCCGGGCTTCAATGCAGAAACGAGTTTCATCCATTGCAGATATCCTTCAGTCTTGGTCTTACTCTGGAACTCCGTGGTTTAATCAGAGATCCCGCTGGGCAACAACATGCATCTTGATTCAGGGGGTAGGACATGGGTAGGACTGTCGGTTTGCCCTTATCTGCTCCCTGTTCATACGTTCATGGGCATTGTTCCTGACATCTATGTTGGTCTTCCGGTTGCAGCTGTTGCTGCTGCTGTTGTTGTGGTTGTGGTTGGGGTTGTTGTTGTTGTGGTAGTGGGTGTGATTGCGGTGGCGGTGGCGGTGGCGGTGGCGATGGCGGGCAGTGGCGGTGGCGGGCAGTGGCGGTGGCGACGGCACCGGTTGCGGTGGCGGTGGCGGCGGCGGCGGCGGCGGCGGCGGTGGTGGTGGTTGTGGTTGTTGCTGTTGCTGCTGTTGTTGCGGTCGCGGTTGCGGTTGCGCTTGCGTGGTTGTGGTTGTGGTTGCGCTTGTTGTTGTTGTTGTTGTTGTTGGTGGTGGTGGTGGTGGTGGTGGTGCTGCTGCTGCTGCTGCTGCTGCTGTTGTTGTGGTGGTTGTGATTGTTGTTGTTGTTGTTGTTGTTGTTGTGGTGGTGGTGGTGGTGGTGGTGGTGGTGGCGGCGGTGGCGGTGGTTGCGTTGGTTGCGGTTGTTGTTGTTGTTGTTGTTGTTGTTGTCGTTGTTGCCGTTGTTGTCGTTGTTGTCGTTGTCGTCGTTGTCGTCGTCGTCGTCGTCGTCGTCGTCGTCGTCGTCGTCGTCGTTGTTGTTGTTGTGGTTGTCGTTGTCGTTGTCGTTGTTGTTGCTGCTGCTGCGGCGGTGGCGGTGGCGGTGGCGGTGGCGGTGGTCGTTGTGGTTGTGGTTGTGGCTGTGGCTGTGGCCATGGCCGTGGCCGTGGCGGTGGTTGTTGTTGTTGTTGTTGCTGCTGTTGTGGTGGTGGTGGTGGTGGTGGCGGCGGCGGCGGCGGCGGTGGTGGTGGTGGTTGTGGTTGTGGTTGTGGTTGTGGTTGTGGTTGTGGTTGTGGTGGTTGTGGTGGTTGTGATGGTTGTTGTTGTTGTTGTTGCTGCTGCTGCTGCTGCTGTTGTCGTCGTTGGTGGTGGCAGCGGCGGTGGCGTGGTAGCAGTAGCGTGGCAGCAGTGGCCGCGGTCGGGCGGCATGGGGTGGGGGCGGCGGTCTGTTATCGCTGTCGTCGTTTCTCCTGTTGCCCGTATCGATGCCACCGGATATACTCATGGCATAGATCTCCCAGGGTCGTGTTCTTTTATCATCTTATTCTGACTCTGCAAAGCTGCGTGTACGGCCACCATGGCCGCCCCAACCCCAATAGGTGGCATTCACCTGGGCGTGGGCTTGTGAAGCCACGGGGGCTGGTAGGTCGAGGTCCAACCAGGATTTGGACGTCTGACCTGAAGTTCTGAGTTATTAGCAGTGAGGTACTATCTAATTTGGCAGCTTCCAAAGAAATATCTTTTATGGTTTTTGGCCAAGCCAGGTTTCAGTTGCAATGCTTGTCATCATGCAGGCCACATCCTCACACCAACAATGCTAGGATATCCAGCACTGATCGCTGGCCTCCATTGAATTTGGAGTCTCACTCAAGCATGGAAGTCTCATACCAACTGGGTTTCCTGATCTCCACAGCATCCCGTCATTTCTACGAAGATACCCATGCTCTGCAAGTAATTACTTCAGTCCTTGGTGCCTGCACCTCTGCACTTGCCAGCATCATGGACATCATGCTGCCCGAAGCGTTGGAACAAGAACAACAGCAAAAGGTCAGAAATACTCTCTGCACAGAATTGAGTGAGAGTCCGAGAAATTATTCTGATGCACGCACCAAACTTCACCAAGGAGCCAGGTCCTGAATCCTCTTCAGCAGCTCTGAAGCCGTCTCTTCATCCTGCGCAGTCTTCCCATAGAGTCGCTAGGTGGTCAATATGTGCACACAACAAAAAATCTCAAAGCAACCGGAGGCAGTGCGCATTGCAGTTCTTCCGTATTTGTCAAAAATCAGGGCAAAGCACCAAGTTCCCGTGAAAACAGGAAATCACCGTTACACCCCTGTACCTCGGAACCCTTGCTTGCCTTCTTCAATAACCTGGCCGCATCTGTCCCCGCCATGCGCTCCACCACATCCCACTCCTGAGAGCACTCCAAACTGTTTAGAATTTAGGGCATTTAGGGTTTAGTTTAGGGCTTGGGGTTTAGGTTTAAGCGTTTGAGGTTGCGAGACAGACGCCATAGTGTAGAGCTGAACGCAAGTTCTCCTTTGAGCTGCCACGCAAGGACCAACCTGAATGTTCGCAGTCACAAAATGTTCATGTGCTCTTCTGGCGCTTGGCCCTAAATGGGTGCTTCCAAAAATGGGGGGGAGCTCCAAATGTCATAATCTTTCCCCAGATGGGCCCAGACTCGGCAGGCAAACCCATTCGGGCCCCCATGCGATGTGCTGCCTCATTGACGATCCTGCAAAGCTGGGAGCTCACGGATGCGCCACGGTATCTGAAGTATCATTTTATCTGTTCTGAGCTCATCATTGATTGTTGCTGTGGTTGCTGCTCTTTCGGCTGACTTGTTGCAATGAATGAAAAATGTGGGTGGGTACTAAACGTGGTCAGGCCAGCACTGTGCGGGCTATTACGAGCAGTTCTGGCTCTAATGCTCGAGGCTCTTGCTCAATATAACCATTTAGTTTGATGGGAATCTTCACATAGTAAAAAACCACCTCGCATGTGCTTTCTCGCCTGGCTCCATACTGGAGCTTACACACCTAGACTGAGGGTCACCTGTGGCTCTGAATCGCAGCCTGTCGCTGAAGCAGGGAACACGCGCAATAAATGACGAAACGCTGATGGGCCATCTGGGCAAGAAGTGGAAAGACTCTTTATCTAAGCCCTCAGACTCTTCATCCTAATCTTCCCCACATACAGCCAAAACAATGGCGACAGCTATGATCATGAAAATCTTGAGCCTAATAATTATGAGGATCACGTCGACAGCGATGATATGGCAACGACCCAGATCATCAGGATGATGATCATCACAAGCACCAGCATCGAAATTTCATCCCTCACGCTCAACCTCCTCACTATCCAGGGGTCGGCAATCCTCAGAATGGTAGCGTTGATGACAAAAACAAGAAAATGAAACAAACATCCTGATCATTTAGAAAACATACCCTTTCTCAATGAGCAACCACAAACCTTGGGTTGTTGCGCAAGCTGCCTTGCCCACAATGCCACACACAAAATCCCTACGAGTATATACAACCTTAGGTAGGCCCCGTAAACCCTTGAAATCCTATACCTACATGATACCATCAGGAGCAACCCAAGGCCCAGCGACCAACCCCAAGACCCGGAGCTGACCTGGCAGCTTTGTCGGCGAGGTCATCCATCTTCTCCTCGAAGAGGGTTTGGGGCTCAGAATTTGGGAGTTCAGGGCTTAGGGTTTGGGGGCCATAGCGAAGATAATAAAGCTGGGGTGTGCAGGATCAGAACATACGCGAGTAGAGACTGTGATGGATAATCTTTCTCATTCTCCAGGTATCTACTTAACTCTGAAACCCACAGTCAGGCAGGGAGTCCAGCCTCAGGAAGCATGCCCAAACTGGCCAGAAAGAGCTTATGGGCTGAATCCCCTACGTGATCACTCCAATGCCCCTTCAAACATGACCCGTTGTTTGTTTACAGGACCTTTTAAACATGACCCAGTTTAGTTTTTAGGTTTAGGGTTTAAGGTGTACTCCTACCCAAGCACTCCTTCCGAGCGCGAATCTCGACGGCTCGCATAGTGGCCAAGTCATCAGACACCTGCTCGGGTTTAGGGTTTAGGGTTTAGGGGATAAGCCCTAAACCCTGAACGGCCGGGCTTCTGGCTTGCAAGCTTGGTTAGCGGGATCTCAACAGAATCCATACTGTAACATTGTGAAAAACTGAGAGTGAAGTCCACATGGAGATGAACCACTGCTGAGTCAAAAAGAAGATAACGACAGAGGGATATTTCATAACGGGAAGTGACCATCACCGAAATACTTGTGCCGCACATGCAACCTCAGCAGGAGCTCAAGTATAAGAGTGAGCACCAGAATCATTTTGGGAAGTTCCTAGCGTGCTTAGCGCCCTGGCACCTGTGATCTTTCCAGCGCCAGCTCCATGGTGAGCCGGAGCATCTGGGTGGCTGCAAATTCTTCAATCTGCGTCCACCCACAAGCCTCTGGCAGATCAAGACATGCGTGAGCTCCACACTTCACACCAATGGAAAAATCACTGCAAGCCTCTTTCTCAAGCCCAAATGAAAGCAGTCTGTCTGAATTCTGAACATTGAAGACCTTAACCAATAACTCTGAGCCGCCAATACCTACAACACACACACCTTTTTGAATGTTGAATGATGTCTGATTGGTACGCAAGTGGGAACAAACCGACATCTGCGAAGCCAAGCAGGTATGCTTTGTACCTATGGCAAAAAAACTCAAATCCCTATCTATCCCGTGCATAACCTCATTTACCCCTACATAGCCATAAAGGACCCAAAATGCCCGCGCATATGTACCCCTACATGACTACACCCTAATAGATGCCCCAAAATTTCCCTACCAATTCCGGAGGTACCCCTCTACCCCACGATAGCTAGTTCCACCAGGCCTTTGCAGAGCTTTGCAGCGCGGCCGTGGCGGCCACGGCCTCATCACCGCCCAGCGCCGCGGCACGAGAAAGCTCTGCCTGGCTAAACGGGGTCTCTTGGGAGTATACAGGGATTATGGGGCATGTTGTAGGGTGTGTATGGGGATCTCTGAGACGAGCTTCCAGTCAGAGCCTACTTGATGTCTACGGGCCCGTCCTTCACCCAACCAGATTGGGCTCTCTTTTGCAGATCCCTGTAGTAAGGAGAAATTTGGGGCCCCAACGTATGGCCACTACTGTAGTCTATAACCCCATAATACAATAGTTTCCATTTTCTTTTCCATTATCCCTATATTACCCCAACATACCACACAAACCCTAGTATACTATGGGAGTTTCCATTTTATTTTCCATTATCCTTTGTAACCCAAATATAACCCTAACATAACCCTGGTATAATCGAGCAAACTTCTCCCCGGATGCCTCCGCCGCCTCGATCACCTGCCTTGGCCGAGCCAACGCAAGCATAGTCTCCCTGATATAGATAGAAAATAGTATAAGATAGTATAATGTAGTCTATTAGGGGATATTATAGCCCCCGTTAAGTAAAAAGAATATGGGATATATGGGGATCTTGATATACTATACCCAAAGCCATATCATATCTACTTCAGGCGGACTATAGCTCTAGTAGCTCCGCCATGATAAAGTACACTGCATAGTCGAAAAGGAGAAAAGGAGGTAGAAAAGTTGCTGCAGCCTATTGGGGCGTCTTCTTTTTGCTGCCATCTTCTGCAGAAATTCTGCTGTAAGTAGCAATGAACATGACTGACAGTCTTCGCTAGGCCCCTTAACTTTGCAAGCAGGACAAGGCTTCTTGCAGTAAGCCCAAACTGTGCAGGGCAGAAATCCCCCCACACTCCCCCTCCAATATTAAATACTCCCAAGATACTATAACATACAACAAATGGGGCGTATCTAATATTAGGGAGGTGGGGGGGTTAATATTAGGGGAAAGGGATTAGAACATCCCCGCTTCATCCAGTTCAGTAAGGTACCAGGGCAGTGGAGCAGATATAGCTTTCAACCAACCAATTGGTGCTGGCAATCAAGTTCTGAAACTTCGTCTGGTGGCCATATTCATCCTGCCCCACGTTCTGAAGACTTTGCGGTATGGAAGATGCACAGCGAAATTCATGCGCTCCGTAGGGAATCCGACAATGTCTTTCTGCCACAAGATTTGGCCTTGTTCCGCAGAGTTGCCTTGCAGACCTTTGGCCTTTGTCATTGCGGTTTGTACTCTGGGCGTTAACTTCGCTCTGGCGGCAATGCCTGCTAGGAACAATCGGCTGTCGGGGCCAATGCCCAAACAGCAGGAAATCACAAATAGCAAAAGCTCCACTGGCAAAATACTTCTTAGTTCATAAAAGGATACCATGCCCTGTGTGAGCATCCTCAACAGATTCGCAAAGCCGGGAAATGAACAATTTAAAAGCTGGCGTTGTCCGTACAATCCTTGTTCCCTAAGCCCACAATCCCACCCAAAGATGGAATCCTCGAAACTAGGGTCCCCCAGTATACCCCCAAATCAGCATTGGATCCTGATACAAGGGGACCGACCAAGAATTTCGGAAAGCTGGGGGCGAGGCCTGGCCACTTCCTCCAGGCCGTGTGACAGGGCCGTGCGATGCACTGCAGCCAGCCCTGCCAGGTCAGCGTCCTGAGAGACTTCGGAAATTCCCCAGAACCAGGCTAGGGTTTGTTAAGATTTTGGGGCTCAGGGGTAATGATTTCAGAGTGTAAGGTTACCAGAAAGATTAAGGGTGGAAACATAAGTGTCCATGAGCTGGTGCTACCAAAAACAAAGTCTGTGCACGGATTCCTAGATGTCTCAAGATATGACGCTACGTCTTCGTGCCCTCATATTCATGATGGCCAGGACCTGCACAGCCGTGCGTTGCCACGGTGGATAAGGGGCTGGCAAAGGCCATAGACTAATGCACATGAACAACACTCGTCCTTCCAACAGCCATAGAATCATCCTGAACAAACAGCAAGGAAAGCAATAAGGATGATGAAGAACAATGATACGGGTGGCACCCACAAGAGACATGAACAAATAATTGCTGTATATCATGCTACTGAAAATGACAAAGGAATCACACTGTGAACACAATCACAAGAACTAGTCAACATCCGCCCTTTAACCCCGGCGCCAAGCCCCCAGCAACTGCGGCAGCGCTAAGCCGTGCGAGCAGAGCTTCGCCATAGAGGGCACCGTGGATGGTCTGCACCTGATAGGAAATATCGCCAAACAGCAGTAATTGAAAAGAAGGTATGGTCAAATTGTTGGTTAGGAAGGACTTCTTAAGCTTTTGGCGTGATACCTGAGAAGGATGAAAGTAATCCACGAATTGGAGTACCCAGTACACAGGAGTTCTAGGGGGCTCTCATGGCCCTCCCAAAGACCAGAGCAAGGTCCTGGATGACAAAACAAAATCAAAGGGCCCACTTGTCAGGCTAACAGATCCCCAGGCTCATTTGGGGTCTGATTGTTGGGAGCATGGGGCGGTGGGGGATCATGGCAAATGTGTGCAAAGGTGCATGAAGTCAAAACGTGGCATTGCGTTTTCAAGATAGTTGCCCACTGTAGTAGTTCTGAACAGTGCAGAAGATTCAATCGGATGGGGTGTGTATCCGTTTCCCTGAACGGGCGTTCACCCTGAGCTCCGCAACCAGCAAGGATCATGTTTGACTATATGGCATCATACCGGCCAAGTCTGTGGGACCTGTTTCTGGAGCATCTCAGAACATAATAACGCCTTTTGCTCACAAACAAACGCTTCTGCACTCAAGCTGAAAGAGAACCAAAGAGTCCGACTGCAGCCAGGACCTTTCGTGCTGCAACCCTTCCTGGAAGCCTCTCTCGTGGGTATGTCGAGCATTCTCAGTAGACAAACTCAATCTCATTTGACTGTGCTGCAGTCGCAGGCATCTCGTTTAACTGGCAGTGACCACAGCGAGTCATCCCACACTTGCGGTCCAACCTCGCGGTAGACGCCCAAATGGTCCATGCCCTTCTCCTGACGAATGCTCTGTATCCTATCATCCCTTGATCCGGCTGGTGAACAAGGTGTTATGAAAAGATTGCCGACCGTTGGCTTCCGGAGAAGGGAGCTCAAGGGTTCAACCACGATGCGGCTCATGTAAGAAGACTTTTCGCACAGCTACATACATGAACATGTCAAGTCTGGTGGCGTCTGCCTCCAGCAAATCGCTACACTCGACCACATCAGCTGCAACTTGACCCAGTCCCGGGCGAAGCGCATGGCGTTTCGCATGTCTGCCTCGCGTCCTGGGGTTGCTGGGCATTATGCCATTGCGCGTTGTAGCTGTAGGAGGTCATGGGGTTGTAACAGCCAGAAAAGCAGCAGCGATCATGATTTACGAAATCCTGTTACTTGGAAGATGTCTCACGACAGCAGCCTGAGACTTGGCTGTGAAGCGGCTCATGAGCCTCTTGAAGGCCCGAGGTAGATTTCACTGCTCAATTGACCTCCAAGCTCGTGCTTACAACCCAAGTTGACGACTTGATTGAAGCTCGAGCCCCAGCAATACGTGCCCTGTGTGACGTCGCGTCCAAAGTTTATTCGTATACAGCAGGTTGACTTCCAAGCTTAAAGCTGCAGAAACCCACGTGGCCGCTGCACAGAAGGGACGTGGGTCACCCAGCTCACCCCTTCCACATGATCTTTCTCCCCCTATGAAAATTACTCACAGCAGAGGCTCCTCTCAAACTGTCAAGCAGGAGGCTCAGCAACAAGGCACACTAGGGATGTCCCAGAGAAACCTATATCATCCAAGATGCCTGACTCGGCAGCTGCCAGCAAACGCGAAGTTACCAGGCAGGACACAACCTGCGCACTTGTTTCAAGCAGGCTCCTGCGTGCATTATGGAAGATCTTCAGACGAACTCCGAAGAACTCTCTCCTGTTTTCAAATTGAAGACTGGAGCACATCAGTTTTTTTCAGGCTCCTCTCGTCCCCCCTTGGGGCGCGAAAGGATTTAAACCTGACTTGTTTGGACAGAGCAACCCAGGTTGCGCAGTGCTGGAATCATCGCACTAGGTCCTGGCTCACGCAAAAACTCCCAAGCGTCAACCCCACACCCTTCACCCTCAATGCCATCAGAGCTCCTGTAAATTATCGAACCCGAAAATTCCACCGAACCACACTGCCTCACGCTTTGCGCTGAGCTCAACCTGCGAACGGGGGTACACAAAGGCTTCTGAGAAGTATGGCGCTTTTCGATGTTCTACGGGTATATGGAGTTTGGGGGTCCGTTTAAGGACTATTCGCTAAAGCAACATACAGATACCTATGGCGTCTATTCACCGTTAGGAGGCAGGGTGCGGAGTCTTCGTTGACGAGCCCTTAAGCCTGTTCCTTAAGAATCCTTTGGCCACACGGCCTCATGGCAAAGCAGAGCATTGACCATAGTCACAACATATCGTCAAGTGGGCATAACTTAACCTATTCCGACGAC